TTAAGGCTTTGGTGTCTTCAAATTAAAACGCAACTGCTGGACCTCAGTTATGCTGAAATCAGCTGAAAACCTGACATGTACTTCCATGGAAATAGATCTGGATCCGGAGACAGGCCCTTAAGGCTAATGGACTATCAATGTTCCATTGATTTCAGTGGGAATTTTCCCAGTGATGATAAGGGAACAGTGTGCAGCTCTACAGAGAAAAATGTTTTTTTGCCTCTGGGACAGGAAAATTTACTCTGTTTATGTGAGTGTATGAAGCTAAGGTGCAAAGCTGGTTTTCAGGCATAACAGGACAACCTTGTTCATTTAGTTTTTCTAAATCATCTGTTCTTCGCATGTTCATAATCTGTGAAAGACATTCATAAGGTGCAATAGCAATATGATGCTAGTTTCAAGGTTTACTACATCCACGTGTTCATTTCCTCCTTGGTCAAAAGGAGGATTGCTTTTGATTTCAAGGGGACTTTTGCTTGACTAGAGACTTACCGCTACCTTAAACTCATTAAGTTTATATTTTTCCCCGTCATGTAATTCCTGAGTTCCATAAGGGGAGCTTCGTGATGCTCTTACGGGAAGCTGGGAAGCTCCAGCTCAACTGGACTCGAGATTCCTCTTCTTCTTTCCTTTATACCAATTATATTTTGTAATTGTTAAAATGGAAAAATGTTTGCAGATGAGAATGTTTTGTAATGTATTTCTTACTGCATATATGTTCTAGCTTTCTTTCTAAACTTACCACTTTACTCACTGTTGACAACATTATTGAAAATAAGGATAATTAACAGTGCTTTTGCAGAAATTTTAGTTGGTTGTGCTTGACATCTCTTTGAAGAATGCCCCACAAAATGAGGAAGGTGCAGAGCATTTTTTAAAACTTGGGGTATTCCTTTAATGTCTTAACAACATCTAAACTACCCAATAAGCTTGGAATACATGTATTTTTAGCCACATATTCATGTTGTTTAAATAAGATGTAAATGCTCATTATCACCAGCCACAATTATTTACCATCTCTTCAGATCCCTCAAGACAGTTTGATCGTAACCATCTCACCAAATATTTTCTACTCATACTAGACTAATACCACGTAACACATATCATAAACCCTCTTTCACATATCAGTTTCCACACAGTACAGGTATTATTCTTTATAAACAACAAACTTGATAAACACAACTCATTTATGTCTTCCAAACTGAGAATACAAATCAAAAGCCTTCTAAACATTGAGCTACCTAGATACTAAGAACGACTGCCCAGCCAGTCAGTTCACTAGACACTGTAGCAGTAAGTGTTCAGCAAGTAGTGCATTTCACAGAGACACAAAGGCTGTTTCAGCCTCTGACTTGTCTGATAGTTTATTACAAAATTGACTTGCAATATACTTGTCTAATCCCTTTTGTACTTCAAGTATCATGGTACTGATCTCTGTTAGTATCACCCTTCTTCCTATTGTGTCCAGACTAATTGATTAATTGCAATGTGCAGAACTTCATCTAAACTATTCTGAAATCCATCTGCAATGCATGACTGTATGAGATTAGCATACATGTACATGTTGGAGAAGTTCAGGTACCATGACCATAAACATATTTTAAATGCTTCCATAGTAAAATTATTAATTAATGTTATTTCGTTCGTTCTTTTTTAAAAATGCAGTAAAGAAAACATATGGCTAATAAGCCAGTGCTTCCGAGTATTGCATTGTCATTGGAACTTTCTCAAGTCTGATTATGTCTCGTTGCTTGGAACCCAGATGTCAAATATATCCAGAGAACCTACAAGATCCCTGTAAAATGCTTCTTGCTTTTACAATGCCCAGATTTTACATTCTTTTCTTATTAACTTCACGGCAAGCGTTTGTACTGTCTGCAACTACATCCATTCAGGGTGTTTGTGTTGACCACATTGGTTGTCCCATGTTTCCCACCTCTCCCCCCAAACAAAAACTTACAGTTTTACCCTTTAGAAACAGAACAATCTTAGGTTACGAGTAAAGCCAAGTCCATTCTAGTGTACTAGCCTGCAGTCCTGTGAAAACTGTGCTCCGTTTTGTATTGCCTCCTCATTTCTTCAGTTCAGAGATGGTCAGGCCAGCAAGAAACTTTCCTTCTTCAACTCAGATCTAAAGCTTGTAAAGCTGGACGACGGGAAAATACGCCAGGTCCTTCTGTTGTTCATGTTGGACGCATCCATCCCCTTGGCTGTGGATTGTAGTTTGAATCTGCTGTTCACAAGTAATAGTCAGACCGGGAATCCATGGACATGATATCAGGATCTGTTCTGGACTGCTGACTGAAGTAAGCATACTGCGGCTGAGAGACACTCTGCGTGGTGGCACTTGGGGCAGACAAAGTGCTTTTGGGGGGTGATACAATACCTGATTGCTTTCCGCCAAATAAGGTTGTGCTACCACTTGGGACCGGAGGCTCATCAGAAGCTCTTTGTTTCCATTCATCTGGTGGCTCAGGAAGCGTTTTCCTACGAGCAGCTGATACTACATTAGCCACAATGGATTCTTCAATATTCTGGGGTGCAAAAGCTTCATCCACTAGGCCAAGAGGGGATTTAGCTGCTGCTTCCCAGGGAGTAGGTCTCTTGCCAGGCCTGTCAGCTGCTGTGCCTGGCTTGCTAAAGTAATCAGGAGCAGGCTGAAAGATAAGAGGAGAAGTAGGGGACATGGCCCGAGAAATGACTGAAGAAGGTCTCCCAGGAAGTGATAATGAGCGTCCACTGCTTCTTTCCTAGAAAAACAAATTACCAGATATAACTGCAGTCATTAAACACCAAAAACGGAAGCCCATTCTCCTCACTTAGAAACTGGAACGACAAACTCTGAAAGCATATGAGCATATGACATCCTGGCAATCCCTTTTTGTATCTACTGGTACTCTTTAATACTTGAGTTTATTGGAAAGAGAGGAGATATTAAAAAGGAGGAAGAGAAAGAGACAGGAACAAAGATGGAACAAACTGAATTTTTGAGGAAAGTAAATAGACCAAAGAAAGATTTCCATTAACTGAAAAGATACAACTATGTTAGCAACCTTACAGCTTTACTTCATCTCCACTACTTAGCTAGCATGCCTTCTTCTGAAAAGACCATTCTTAGTAATGAAAAAGGTCGTCATGTTGTGTGTGTGTTCTGTGTATGTTTACAAGATTCTGTCTAACGTTCAGGCACAGCCTGAATTTATTTAATTACAGGTTCTGTTTAGGACCTCTATCCAAGAACATATATTTGGCAATCTCCTTTTAAGAAAGGCATTTCTTACTCTAAAATTTTTAGACTCACCCTGAGTGGAAAGGGAACAAAAATGGACACAAAAATTTAAAAATATTAGCGCAATCATTTCCTTAATACCCTTACAGGATAGTACTTAACCTGGCTTCTTTAAAAGGCACTGCCCTCAAAATGTCAGAACATTCTGACCCATTTATGGAGCAATCCATTCATATTTGACAAATCCTAATCTTCTTAGTAATGCAGAAACTCTGTTCATGAGAAGATTTGCCCACGACAGTCTTCATTTGGCAGTAGATGAAACAGATACAGCCTTTCCCCCATGCCAAACATGTTCCTTGTGTAGACAAATTATATTATTCTTACTAAATAGCCTCTATACTTGTGGTTCCTAAACTAATTGATTTATACCCACTGATTCATATCCTGAGGTTCAAGAATCGCCCTTAACTCTGAAATCTTGTACAAAATTCAGGGCTGAGTTGCCAAAGGCTTGCTAAAATTTCATTCAAAACACATTGGCCCTTCTGACTAGCTTCCAAAAGTTTAAACGTTGTCAACATGATCCACATACCAGGGAAGTCATTAGGTGTCTGATCATACAAATTATAGTTTATCTAGCAAAGATTCACATAAAAATGAATGTTTTATAAGCTTTTCCATCACAAGAGCTTTGAAGCATTTAAAAAAGTTGAATGACCTCTGCTTCACATGGGCTTTTAAATTATGTTTTAATATCATCCTTGTATATAGGGGACAGAAACTGAGAAAAAGAGAACGTACTGATTTCGTAATTTTCAGTGGATTTGGTGGTGTTAAGTCCAAATCTATTAAAAATATCTAAATAATACACAGAAGTTGCGTAAGGAGAGTTTTGACCAATTTACAGCTAATGATTTGTAACAAGACTGTCCTTCTCACCTCTTAGGTCTAACCACCTATTACCAGCTTGCAATTCCAGAGAGGAAACTCCCCTACAATATTACACACATACATATTTTAAATTTACATGAAGTTCTTTTGTTCAGCAAAATACTGCATTATAGGCAGCTTAGCTCAGCTAAATTTTCAGAGTCCTTACTTAAACAATGAGTTCATCGAACATTAAACATACTCGTCAGATCATCACATCTAGACAGGTCCCATCTGTATTCTGTGAGACAACAGCATATAAAAGCAAAAATTACCCATTTGGACGGTAAGCGAATGAAAGAAAATAAGGGTTTTGCCCATAGATATATGATATACTATCAAGAAGAGATTAAACTTCCTCCAAATGTTCATCTAATGAGAGGGATATTTCTTTTCTTACCTGAAAATTTAAAAGTCCAGATAAAAGTTCATGCTTGGGGTCAGTGACTGGCAGACCCAGATAAGCCAGTCACAATAGTTCTCCTTCCTCTACTGTATTACAAGTTCTTTCTTCACTGAATGCACAGAAAACAGTTTCTTCAGTGAGACTGATTAGTGCATTTTGTTTAAATATTTGGCAAGAATAGATTTTTGAAAAGCACAAACTCAAATATGCAAAATGAGATACAATTTCTATTAAAAATTAATCTGATAACCTATACTGTGAAACTACTTAGAAGATAAGATTGTACAGAGAGATGAAAAAGTTGACCAAACAGGTTCAGCGAGTTGGCCAACCTGTATTAACTGCTCTTGGTAGGGCTCTAGATTGTTGTCTGTGCCGAATAGGTAGAAAATTTCTTTTTTATTTAATGGAGATTCCAGTTCCAAGAAAAGAGATCCAAGCTAAGTCAGTATTTGTAGGATTCCAGAGATGAGATGCAAATGGAAATAATACTCTTGAAAGAAGTGATGCATAAAAGACGTGACATTTCAAGACTGTCAGATGAAGATACTGTATTTAGTTCTGTCATGTTTAGAGAAAAGGTCCAGAGATCACCAAGTGGCAAAGATGTCTTTTCAGCCTAACCATCAGTGATAAAGTAGGAGTTAATTTTCTTTGACAGAGTTTAATCTGAGAATGATGAGTTGTTAAATGCATTTCACTAATCTGTCTAACAAAATGGGCCATTCTGCTATGTCACGAAGGTGGAACCTTACCTTGTAAAACCAGAAATACAATATAGACAGAATTAGTTGTCATGAGTTTTATGTATTTTTTCAGTACAGGAAACTATTCTAGGGATAACTTTGTTATCTTAGAAGGTGAAAAAAGGGAACTGGTAGAAGACCAGTGATGACCTCGCAGAAAAACCCTCTGCATGAATCAGTCAATACAATTTAAAAGACACTAGCACAGAGTTTTGACAACCAGATTTGGGGTGGGGGGGGTGCGTTTTACCTGCTTGAGAACTTCCTATGTCCTTAATTCAGAAGACCTCAGTGAACAAGTGTTTGGAGCTCAAATCATATCAATCCACAGAACCTGTAATGTTCTCTAAATCATAAATTCAGCCTGTAAGAGTTGCAGAAAAAGTAGAATCTGAACTACTGATAATTTGGAGGATATTGTATCGTTTGGGTTGTTCCATATGAAAAAAAAGCAAAAAATGTAAAAATACTTTGGATATGGAGGATTTATTCTCTTATATAAATCTATTCTCCTTTAATTCTGAAATTCTTCCCATTGTATTAGCTTTTATGAAGTGTTGGTCTGGAAGATATGCAGATCAGGAGACTGGAATAGTTCCTTGAGAACTGATTGTACTAAATTTCCTTGAACTCATTCTTTGTTTTGAACTTTAGAGAGACTCTCAGGGACAAATGGACTAGGTAAGAATCCAAATAATTCAAACTGTCCCATGAGATAAAGAATGTTTCATTATATGAGTAGGACTTTACATGGCTCTGAATGTGATCACCCTGTGATAATTCTATCAGAAGAAAATGCCTATGAGAGATTTTTCCAGTGAAGTCTCCCAAGTAAGCTGGAGCAACCACAGCAATGTACCTGGCCAGTGAGAGACCTGTGCCAATTTATTTGGAAAAAATTATTTCCTTAGAAGTTGGTAAATATGCTCCTTTTCTACCTCAGAACCCAAAAATTGGAGTACTTATTTCAGGTCTTTTCCATTTTGCCAGACTACCTCTTACTTTTATCAGTGCTTTCAATTGGCCAGAGTAGCATATGTATTTTTTTTTTAATTGCTCTCTGCACTCTCACATATTCATGTGTATTTCTAGACCTCATCTTAATAGCTATCATCTGAAAGACTTCCTTACTTTGACGGAAAGATCAGGTTATCTATAGAATGATATCCCTTCTCCCAGGGGACAGCTTTGTTAGGTGCTAAGCATCTCATTTGGAGACTTTGATACTTTCAGTAAGATCTGTATCACTGAAGATAATTAATGATTACTTTGTTCTGGATGGTCATTCAACCCCCATCCAAATTAGAGCAACAGAATTCTCACTGCAGGATCGAACTCTGTCAAACTATGGTACCGTCAACTGGATGATTCACATCCATAGGCAGTTCTTTAGCATACTTGGTCCTGTTTTGATATTCTTGGATGTATCAAGTTCTTCTCCTTCCCCACTTTCTGAGATAATACTTACCTCCAGATATACTTAATTACATTTCTGAATTTTAGGTCTGACTGTATGGCTTTTGATGGGGAGAAAGAGAGGACCAGTAGTTTTTGAAGGAAGAGGCCCTTGAAGGAAGATTCTTGACTGAATTCTCCACGTTTCTTAAAGAAGAACAGTCGTAACTATGCTGAAGGTAGGCAGAAGAGGGTTTAAAGACCTACTCAGGAGATCCAAGAATGTACAAATGTCTTTGGCTAAAGTGAGCCCTAGTTATTTTGAATTACAGTCTTCCTAAAAGAAATAGCAATCATCATTGTCTACACCCTAGTAAGAGCAGACAGCACAGAGAGAATGAGAGAAAATGTAATATGAATTTTATTTTTAATAAATCCAGGAAAATTAAATATCAGTTTTGGCCTGAATCAATTCTATTGAGTTATTGTAAGGTGGGTGGAATTGTGAGCAATTGTAAACCTTTGGATTTCATGGGATATATTTTTAATTTTAATATCCATAAAAGAAATACAGCAGATATACCAGCTGTGTGTGCTATGCCATTATGCCTCAGTGCTTACCTTAAGGAGGGGGAGTTTATTCTCTAAGCCTACTCAGTACCAAGATTGTTATGGTAGTATCTATCGTAATAGAAGTAATACAGTAGAACCCTGTACAGCAGATTTGTGCATTTGGCTGAGTAATCACATAGACTTTGTATAGGGACATACTTCTGCAATAATTTACTTAGATCCAAGTTAGAATATTTGTATCTACCCCAACTTTATTCTGAAATTGAATAATCTTTGGCTTCAGAACATAAAATCCCCACGTTTTTTCATGCTCTGTGGTAAATAGGTTTTAAGCACTCCTAGGAAAGCGTAATTTTGCTAAAATGTAAGCATGTCTTAAATGTAGACCCTGAGAGATGATTAATGATTGTTTTCATTGCCTTTAGTCTTGTCACTGGTGGAGGTGTTCCTAGAATGAAAGTCTAGGTCTGGACATTCCTGAATTGAAGGGAGATCCATATTTGATATTCATATACTAATGTCCATCAGCAGTAAAGTATTCAGCCCCTTTGAACTGACAACAAACTTTGAAATTTATGCAGCATTTAGTCTCTGGAATTATCATTCATTTACTGGAAAGTAGCAACCAGGCCTAGTGATACTCTATTATTCTCCCTTCATATCTTATTCTTGGGGATAGTTCTTTTGGTATGCAGGTACTGAACAGAATGCACAAACCCCAGGTTGTAAGTGAGACAGTGAAAATATAAAGTACAAATGGAGAATAACTATTCTACCTTCTGTCTCCCTTATGAAGAGCATAAACAGGGGGCTAGAGCTCTTCCATTCTTCCTCCCAGCAATCAAGGGAGAAGGAAGAGTGATATGCTATCAGAATGATTGAATTATCACAGATTGTATCACTGTAATCTTGTTGTAAAATATTCATTATAATACTGTACCAACATTCAAAGAGCTGTTAAGCTGCAAAACAAATCGGAACACCACACAGTGAATAATTTGTGCTTTCCATTGCCCTGTGTGAACAGTTTTTCAGAGAGAAAAAGCTTTTCTACAATAGCTTTGGAAGGGAAGGCGATTCTTAAATAACAAGAGGAGGAAAGACAGTTCAGAGCTGTCCATTACCATCATATAGAATCCTAACAACTGCTGCTGACTACCCAGGTGTCTATGCGAAGAAATTAAACATTAGTTTCAGGTTAACATAGATTTTAAAAATGCAAACTGTTTTTAAACTGATTAGTGAAGCAAACATTTATTGTACCACAAGCATCTTTGATATGTATAAATTGTATATTAATATAAACTAAAACAAATATAGTATTACTCCCAAAAGAAACTATTTCAGTATATAAGTAAATGAATGTAAACACGGTACTTATAAAAGATGTGTGTACACATATATTTTTGTTTATACATAAGTAGAAAGAGTGTGAATGTGTACCTTTGATTCTAGTTAGTTTAGCTAAGTCAAGTCCAGAAAGTTGTTACATAGAACTTACTGCTATTTCAGATTTCTTTATGATTATGAAAAGCTGAAAAACAAAAAAGTGTATTATTTAGTTTCATAAAATAGTGCACATTTTTAAAGGCAAAAGTTAGAAAGATCTTTTTTCATTTTACAGACCAAATGGGAATGCAAAATACCACGTAGTGAAAAAATTTCACAGTAACTGGTGTTCTGTCTCGGGTGGTGCATCTCCTTAATAAGGTAAAACTGTCCGTGCACTTACATGCTGAAACTTCCTTTTCATTGATTAAGCACATGTAGGTTAAATTTTCCAAAATGTCAAGAATTCTATTTTCGAAAGTAGCTTAGACCCTTAACATTCCACATCTCATAGAAAATTCCTGCAACATAGACTCCCACCTGATTAAGTCACATGGAAAAAAAAAAAGATTTACTTTGGTTTCTCAGTCATTAGGACATTTTTATTTTAATCTTTTGATTGTAGTCCTGGTCCTTACCCCACATGAAGGCAGGTTCAAATCTGAATTAACATTAGCATTGTGCTAAAGGGGACAAAGGAAGTGAGTGGATAAAACAGTTGTAGTATTGCAAAAAATGACTCTTTTCATAAAAAGCTCAGAGTGCTGTATTTCTCATTTTGCTTCCTATTGGCTTGTAATGTCTACTGCAGTTAGAGATCAAACAGTTGGAAGACAGTAGAACAAAATAAATAATACTTAATTTTTATAGTTATGTTTATACCTCTTTCCAATTTTTAAAAGATTTTTGAACGACCATAGAACAACATGAAGAAGGAAAATGTAACGATAATCTTAATTTGGCTTTTTCATCCCAAGCCATTTACAGCTTAAACTTTTATTTAGCGAAAAACCAGTTTGTCTCTGCTAGCTCTGGAGTAAATGCTACAGCTATTTTAGAGTAAGCAATATGACTCCTGAAAAATTGGAACGAAAAGGGAAATAACCACATTTATTCGAAAATCTGGAAATAATTTAAACAGGTAAAATGAAACTGCTACAATTGGAATGCAGTACTTTGGTGAATGGGGATATTAATGGCTGGAGAGGCCGGGAATTTAGTATTATATCCTAGCTGACTGTAACAGGTAATGCCTTATCAGTGACTGTACTATGACTAATAATAGACTAGGATCACATACTTCATACACTATCCAAAATTCCTCAAAGCTGTCTAACCAGGGCTTTCTTTTAAAAATTTATAGAGACTTTTAGAACTAGAATCTTATTTGTTCTAATTTTAGATTGTTTCTACGTGTGGTTTTATTTCAGGCCGTTAATCATAACTATTAAAGTGAGAATGATCTTATTTTTCCTCACTAGTAAAAGAACTAATGAAACAGCTACTGTCAACAATTTTACATGAGCTGCATGACAAGTTCTAGTTTCCACAGTGAAGTCCTTTTTCGTTGTCAAGTAATACTAGAAGGAAAAAGTAAAATATTAGAATTAGGCCTTCACTTCTGCAGAAAACCTACAACATACACAGAAAAGAAAGGTAAGAGTGCTGGTAACCACTCATAAATTAATTATTGACTTAGCTCAGCTTGTTTCTGTGTAAATACAAGAAAATTAGTGCTTGATATTGCTATTTAATCTTTATCCATATCTGATTATCAAAATTAAAAACAATTATATCTATAATACGCAAATGACTGAGGGTTTTTTTGGCCATAGGCCTCTTAGTTTTCATTGAAAGAGACGGTTTAGTTCTGATAGAGAAGAATATTTGCTGCCACCTTCTGGAGTTTAATATTACACAGCTTAGAAGAAGGTCTTACAAGATGAAGCTTGGCTTATGTGTGGATAAATATTTGAAAAACAAGTGCAAAGGTAGTCCTAATTTCTGACCTTGTGGTTCTGTATGAGCAACGAAACCATTTTAGATTACTATGAAGTAAAGGAGATGAGCTAATGATCTTTTTCTAAAATCAAAGAAAGTAAATTTTGACTATATTGTAATACTTGAAGCTCGCTGAACGTTTCCAGACTGTAAAATAAATTATAATTTTCTTATCAAATCATTCAAGCAAAAATGTTCACTCTTGGCTTTTTCTTATTTATTTCATCCCAAATGGTCTGACCATTTCAGGTCATTTTAACCAAATGAACCCAAAGATTTTGACCATTTCAAAGAACCAGAGCAGGGAAAAATACATGGCAATGCCAAAAAAATTTATCATCCTTTTCCTTGAAAAGTGGTAGCACGTCATGCTTTAGGATGGGTTTGAGACTAATCTGCATATCTGAAGTGTTTCATATTTCCATGCAGACTTGCCTAAGTATATTCAAGTTGAGAGCCTTTCAGAAACTGTAGTTAATATAGGCTCAGTGGGAACAGTATGCTCAACAGGAACACCTTACAATTTACCACCTGGTTCCCAAGAACTCTGTAAGCACTGATAATATTCTGTTAGGCAGCAGGACCTTATCTAGAATTGCAGCTCTAAGGCTGCTAAAGGCTCTGGGGTATCTGGGCGCTGCACAAGAGAGCAGGGACACTGTCTTTCTTTTGCTTTCCATACCTGCCTAAATTGCAGGCATACTCCCACAGGCAGGAGAAATCACTGCAGCATACCACAGGTCCTGCACTGCCTGCACAGCTGGGTTTTCTTTCCCCAAATACTAGTTTCTGCAGAGGTGTGGTGCATACCCAAGTGTCTTTCCAGCATGAGCTCAGGACATCAGGCTGCACACTCGCTGATCAAGACTGAGATGCACTGCAGAGCATGCCCACCCCGTCACAGAGTCAAAGACTTCCTGGCTGGGCCCAGGCAGCCTGAACGAGGAAGGAGACTTTCAAGAGGGTGGTAGAAACAGGCAATGGAAGAAGAGAGAAAAGAATGGACAAAGGAGAACTAGGAGTTGCTGATATTTGATACAGAAGGAAAAACTGTATGCAAGACTGGCTTGGAAAGTGATGAGAATAAGACCTGATGGGCAAGGTTCCTGAGCTTGGAAGAGAAGCTTTAGAAATAGAAAATTGACTTGTGTACCTGGCAATGAGGCTATGATAAGGAGATAGGACTGAAAAAAAGAGATGATGACATGAGGCAATGGAAGTATGTTTGGGGAAAAGAGCCTGTGCCCACTACAGTACACTTTCCTCAGAGCTCCAGAGAAATAGGAGTTTGTCCTTCCCTGAGCTGACTACTGTCAGAAAAGACTGTGAAACCCCACTAGGAACCTGTGCTGTCCTCCCACTGCCAATTCACAGGTGTGAGGTCAACATGAAATTGCTGCCAGTTGCTATACTAACTCAAATGGCAGTTCTCCCTGATGGTTCCTCCCATGCTGGAGGGCCCTCTTAGTTACAGTACGCTCTGTGGTAATATTCTTGGGTTTGGTTTATTCTTCTGAAAAATCTTTGGGACATAAACACACAAAGCTACCTTGAAGCAACGTAAGTAAAGTTGGAAAGTCGAGTATTGAAAAGTTATGAAATGCAAGCATCATTGCCCAGTGCAGATGAATTTAATTAAATTGCAGGACCTCTGCCCCATCCAGAGCAGAGTCAGGGCTTCATTTAGAAAGTGTTAGGATTATATAGTAAAAAAGCATATTATGTGGGAGACGCTTGCACCAGTTGGATTTCGTAGCTGGTCACAGAGGATTGCCTTTCTGGGCTGCCGTCGGGAGATCTGTGATCTGTGAATGCTTGCAGACTGGTGTTAGTGGGAAGCATAGTTTGATATAGTAACTACTTCATATACTACTGGACTCTAAAAATCCTAAGTGCCTCAAATTGGACACCCAAGGCTGCTAAGTGTCCTAACATCAATGCCTCACTCTTATGCATACTTTTCCTATTTGTAAAATGCAGTAGTGTAAAAATGAATTACTGCTTCCAAATCACTTGGATACTAAGCAGAAAAACATGACGAAATAAATAGTTCTGCATGGAGAACATGCTTCAGAAAGTGTACATTAAATAAGGAGCAGTGCCACACACAGAACAATGTCAAAACAAAACAGTGAAGAGCTATTCCTCAAACGAGCAGTACCATTCTGTGCCTGAATGAGTCAGGAGTCCTATGGAAAAAAATAGCAAATGATCACATGATTACAGGTGGTATTGTCACACAAATGCCTGAGGGGGCTGTGTGTGTGTGTGTGTGTGTGTGTGTGTTTGTGTTTGTGTATACATATATATATATGTAAAGGTCAGGTCCTTGCCTAAATACTGTTCTGTAGCAGTTCCAAGTCTGTCAAGTTTCTGAGTCAAGCCACCTCTCTGAAAGTAATCTTAGACTGAGAAGAGTTTTTAATTTTGTGTATCTGAGGTGCTGACAGCTATGCAACAGAGTACAGCACAAGTGCAGATACACGTCACCATAAGAAGTGTAGGTATCTGCCTTGCATTTTGTGGCATTGTTGGAATTTTTAATGGTATGCCATCATGAAAAGATATGCTTTTTTCAGTTGTCACAACTCTGCACTGTGCGCTATCAGCTGAACAAGCAGCAAGGAAGGATCTGAGAGCCTTTTCTGAAGAAACTTACAGCCCAATTTAGTTTGTAAGAAAGGCTCAGGTAGCATAGCTAGGGCTGCCAGAAATATCTTTACATATCCAAATGTTTACTTAACCAAAGAGAATTAAACTGCAGAGAGATTTTGAGGTTCTCTTATTGCCACATTTCAGGCTATTTAAGGCTGCTTAGGTTCCATTTTTAGTCATAGGCCTGATAGGAGAAAATTGCCAAGATTCTAGGAAGAAAACTAAGTGCACCCTGATGCACATGCTTTGCTTTTGGTCATGGCAACAGAGCCATATACCAGCAACAACATGTACAATGAGACTTGAAGAAGTAGCATTCTCACAGATCAAAGAAAAAATCACTAGCAGTTACTGACATTTTCTCAGTGAAAAATGTAAGTATAGTTTCTCAAAAACTTTCTTAAAAATGAGAACATTTGTCTGCAGATAGTTACTGTAAAGAAACTTCCGCTTCTGATATAAATAAACTGAATTCTCTGTTCTGCAGTCAGTTAAAGCTCATACTGAAATCAATGACCGTTGTTGCTCAGTGTCACCCTTTGTAATCGAACATGTGTTGCTGTGGTTGGGATGGTATTTTATTTCTGTGTTGTCCCCCCTTTTCTTCTGTTCGTTCTACATTTAAAAAAAAAAAGTCAAAATCTATCCTTTGAGATATCTGCATAGATAGAATCATCAAAAATAGCCATCTGTCTGTTCAGCAGTTTACTCTTTACAACTCTTTAGAAATGACCTGGATACTCTTACAGTAAATTATCTTGCAGTTGCCTGGGAGCATGAAGGGTTTCTCCCTTTTCAAGATTTCTATCTCAAACTATATAATAAGAATCAAGAATTCTTGTCTGAAAGCACTTACTGCTGTTTCATTGATTACCCCACAGAGCAAGCCCTCATCCAGAAAGTACTGAACCATCCGTAAGCACAGGTCAGTAAGTAATTTTACTCATAGCTGTGTTTACTCAGCCTAAGGGAATGTACAGTTACTATTATATCATACTACCATGTAAGTTCGTGCAGGTCTTATTCCTAGACTTAACATGCATTGAAATGAAAAGCAGTTTGTCAAGATTGTTACAAACAGGAATAGATTTTTTCCTCTGAGAACTGCATAGAGAACCGCAAGTGCTTCCTGTAGTAAGTGTCCAACCTGAAGAGCACTTGTTAAACATAGCTCTTGACAGATTCCAACTCCTCCCTTACTATGTAATTCCATGCAAAGGTAATGTTTACTATAAAGTAAGAACAGTCATTGTCATGTGTACTGTGAAGCTGTAGCAGTGGCTACCAAGTGTATTATGAAATTACCAGGCTCACGTATTTTCCCCGGAAGTCTACCAGCAAGTGAGTAAAGTCAGAGCTTCTGTATCCACAGTTTTTTGAAGATCTTATCTTCAGATTTCTTCTGTGTATACCATGTCTATTTCAACCTGAGTAGAATCATTACAAAATAACATCACGCCAAGCTGTGTAGTTAAGGTTTGCACTTGCCATGCTGAACTGCCAAAGTGATCAGCGTAACCCTGCGTGCTTAACTTCAGGCAAATAAGTTTTTATGAAAAAGGCATACTGAAGAGTGGATCTTTTTATAACAAACTTTTTTTTTTATTATTCCTAAAGTTAGAAATTTTTTAAAAAGGGTCCTGGAAAAAGAGAGGAGAAAGATTTTGCAAGTTGTTAGTTGCAAACAGTGCTGCTGTTTGGCTGGCATTTTCCCTACCTCGAGGTGTACAGAGGATTCTCCGCAGAGGCTGGAGCAGCAGAGCATGCTGGTAAGGCTGGTCCTTTGTTGAGAAGTTGTCCTGGTTACTTGGTAAACAGTGTTCCTCCCAGCTCACATCATCTATTATCAGATTGTCTTTATAACTGCTTCCCAGTGTAGCTGAACACTTTTCTATCCTCCCCTTTTTCAGAGTTCACCTTAGCACTTTCAAGAACTGGCATGTATAGGAGCTGTCTGTGATAATATGTCTGTATATTCATGGTCTCTCAAAACAATACTTTACTGATAGGGCCTCCTTTTTTTTTTTTTCCCCCAGCACTCCCTTTTCTTTTTTTGCTTGGTATAAGTATTTCAGTTCCTTCACAATACCTTCTTCTAAACAGTAGAGGAGAAAACCATGCCCCATTATGTGAGTACTCAGTCATTCAAGGAGAATCTAGCAAATTTCAGCAAAAGGCTGGAAATCAGTCAGCCATCTCTGTGCAGAATAATTAAGCCCTCCTTGCTGTTTTTTTTCTCTTCTTGTACTTGCAGGGTTTCATGATCCTCTCATAGGTATTTTGTCCTGTGTAGTCTCTGCTTTTGTGCTGAAGCTTTCTCCCCACTGCTTGGCTTCTACTAATTGTAGTAGCTTTTTGTCTCAAAACTGCTGCTCTGCCACTTAACACCTATCTCCTATCACCCTCTCCTATCTGAACCACACATCAGCCCCTCAATTCCTAATTTCTGGAGGTTGCTGATACCTCAACATATTAGTGCTTCCTTGCTTCAAATACTCCTTTACATGAATTCTGAACATTCATTTTAGGGTGAATAATAACAGCACTGCCAAAAGGAAAATAAACTCATTGCTGCATGATTGCTGTGGTGACAGCAAAAGAGAACACAGCAGTTTTAGCACTGATCTTGTATCTTTTGGCTCTTGAATGTCTTAGATAAAATAAAGTTAGGTATACTTGGTGTCAGTGCATGAAAACTGGTCAAAAAAACCCCTCGTTTTGTTAGCTGGTCTCAAAATGTTATTGGCTTGACCTCAAACAAAATGAATTTTCTATGTTTCTAGCAGTGAAGTAGGCATCCTCTGCTGTAAGAGCACTGTGACTAAATCAGGATAAGTAGTCTTGATATGAGTATCTTGACATGAGTATGTGTATTACAGAGTCCCAGTCCATTGGCCCAGTGCTTTTGGAACTAAGCAGCTTATTCTAACTGGATATTGTCATGTGTCTTAGGACACTGACAAAATGATTCCTTGTGTAAGAGCGCAGAAAGCAAGCGAATGAGGCTTACTTGTAAGAGATGGTAATGTTTACTTTGTAAATGTTACTGAAGAAAAAAATCGTTGAACTATCTGTCTTATTTGTTGCATAGTATGTTATGTCTTGATGAGCAGGAACATGGTAAGAGTCTAGTTCCCCTAGAAAAGGGGAGAGAAGTTAAGGAGTTGTTCAGGAACTAAATTTTGACTCTTATTTTTGCAACAGAACTTTTAACTTTCTGTCTAAAAGCTACTACTCTCCAAAACAAAAGATTTCAATTCCGGCTTTATAACAAGGTTTATAATTTAATGAGAATTTGAAAATATGTAACCCGTCATTGAGGTAGCTATTTTCATGGAAAGGTGCTCTAGAGTGTGAGATCCAAATGGGTGCAGTATAATACTTATAATATGTGCTATAGTTAAATGTGCTTAAAATAATATAAGGCATTTATATAGCTTTTTTCATATGAACATACTGGAAGTGTTGTTATTAGAAGTGGCCAAAAATTCATTGTTAAATATGCTCACATAGTAAGCACAACCAGTGTTTCTTGATGGTCTTTTCATATTATATTAAAATAATTGTAATCGTTTTTTGAGAAAACCGTTTACAAAAGTTCATTTCCCTTTCAAAATGAAATTTCAAATGGCTCCTCTTTATATAAAGAGTTCATTTTCTTGACATTTCTGCTATGCTTCACATCTAGCTTTTCATTTGGACCTGTAACAATGCACAGCTGAACTCTCTTCTTAATACCTGCTTCACAAGAGATTACCCTTTGGATAAAACTGTTTATTTAAGTAGGCCAGTTTTCTTCTGAAATATTAATAAAAATTACTGACTTACCTTATTACTAAAATGAGTCTTGAAGCCAAGTCAGATCCAAGCATGTAGAAGGATGTATGTATACAAAATTGGATTCAGACTTGGACTTTGATTGGGATTTTCAAAAAATCCTATCTGAGCTAGGAGCACTAGTGGTACATGTAAAATACATGTAGGTACTTTAAAAAATCCTGCTGTCATTACTATCGGCCACACTAAATACTAGTATTTGAACAACAGCAAGACATCCAAATCTGATCAAAATCCAAATATTCAGCTTGGATGCATTTCATGTTCTTCTGGACAAAGTAGAGAGAAGATAGGTCAACAGCTATATTTTATATCACTATCACAGAAGCTGACTTCTTTCTTATTGCTGTATATATAGTTGACTCTCTAAATAAACTTTGGTGCTGAAAATGAAAGAATTAGGAAAATGATTTTCAAACTGACAGTTAGGCATTTCTGTCTTCAAACTGAATTTAGTTCTAGGTAAATGGCTCAGGAAACTGAAATGCTCTGTTTCAATCCACAGCTCTCCTCTAGTTCCTATGGACTTGATTTTTATCTTTCTGGAGAGGTGATTTCCTTTGGAATGAGAACAGAGCCCAGCTTCACCCCTTGTTCCCTCTGCCAATATTTGGAATAATAATGCCCATTATATTACTTGGAAAATGATTTGGCATGTAGGCATATATATGCTAGAAGCTAGATTGCAGTAATCCACATATTTCACACTGGGCACTGAGCAGCTGGTGAGGACTTCCAAAAGTTACTGACTTGAGCCTGACTGAACTGATGACCATGCAGTGTAAGCTACTGTATCTCACGAATAGCCACATGCATTACCCTCAACCCTTGTGTTAAAAGTACAAAACTGCTAAAAAACTCATTAGGGAAGAATTCTTTGTGGGCAGGAAGGTGCAAACAAGTACAGAAGTGTGATTATAATTTACAAATGTATTTTACAGGAGAAGACCTTAAGGAAAAACATATAAGGCAATATGAGGCTATCTGAAAGTGGTTATATTTCTCTGTAGCTGTCTAGTAGCACTACCTTTATCTCTGGTTTAATTTGTTCCAAGGAGATACTACTATTTTAAATTTCTATCTAAAATAATTTAAGCAACTTAATATAAGAATTTTAATAGAGCGGAAGGAAGAAAGGAAGGAAGGAGACAGGGAAGGAGTTTTCATAATAATAGGACTGAATAGCAAACTGAGCTCCCGTGAAATTTACTGTCAGTCTGTACATATAAATAAAACAACTCAAAAAAAAGACAGAGAAGAAAGGGACAAGTTTAATGGTAGAAGAAAAATACAGCATATTGACAGTGGAAAAGAGAGGGAAGGGAGATCTCCAGAGGATTAAAACGTTGCTATTCCCTATTCCTAGGCATATGCAGCGTAATTTATTCTTGAGCTTTCCAGACTAACTAGTTTTTTCAAAATTTCTCACCATTCTCCTGAATTTAAGAGTAAGATGGATCACTTGGTCATTTTTTTCTAGTGCAGTCAGGATCCCAATCCAGAAGTCAAAGGGGAGAATGGGATTCTGGGGGTCCAAAATTTAAAATTTAAAGGTACAAAATTAGGCTTTCTATTGGCTTAATTAGGCTTTGATTCCAATCTGCTTTTTTGCATGTACAACCAAATGTATTATTTTCAAACTTGATTGCAGGTTTTGCTCATAGTGGGGAGCAGCTTATTCATCAAGATAGTTCTACTAAAACCATATGCACCAGTATGATATAAAAGATCTATAATCTGGTCCATAGCTAGTTGGCTGGTAACTTAAAAACATATATATCAACAGATTCGACCACCTTTATTCTCAGAGTGATGCTTTAATCTTTTAGTGTAGCACTGGGAGATGGATCCTGATACACTTAGTTGTGTGAAACAACACTCTGTTTCAGAACTAGCACCAGTGATGTTAACAGAACTGCTTACTGAATAACATACTAAACTATTCAAAGATAGCCCCTTGATTTCAGCAAGACTGCATATTGATTGCAGTATTATTCAATAGGATTCAAGATTACAAACTCTAAGAATTTTCTACAGTAGCAGTATTTCAATCTTTAATTCCCAGTACTTAATGTATTGGGTAATATAATGTGGAAGGTGAAAGTATAAGACCAGAGTACAATGATGAAAATGGAAGAAGCACTGTAAAGCCCAAAGTGAAAATAAGAGAACACGTATGAGAGACGAATAGGAAGACAAGGTTATAATTCTGTTACACTGTTGTGTGCTTATTTCTGTGGGGCATACTACTCTTATTGCAAAAATCAGTACTCTCAAATGTATGTGTCCCTTCTGTTCTTAATCACTGTGCTTTCATGAGAAAATATTGCATTTCATTGCAGCTGCAAAACTCAGCTCACCCTTCTGACTGTCCAATATTTTTGGTTTACTGGCTTCTATAATTTACTTGCCAGAGTCAAGGCAAACCTTGGCTAAAAATATGCACTTGGGATGTCAAATTTAGTTAAAAATTTCCCCAAAATGGGAAATTTTTAACAACTTTTCCAGGTGTTTTTTTTTACCTCCTGTAAGTTACTGTTTTTCAAAACACTCCAGCATCTCTTATAGCACATTCTCTGTGAAATCACAGAGGCAATTTAGGATTTTGGATCAGAGCTGATCCACATAACTTATAAACTAAGCCCCTGACTGATGAATCAGATTCCTGCAGAATGACCTTTGTGCCAGGACAGATTCTCACTGAATTCAGTGGGACTCTGTGCAGATCCAAAGGTCTGTCCACCTATATCCTGCTAGTAATCAGTCAGAGTCTAATACTGTATCTATTTTATGCTACGTTAGTAATACATATCACTATTAATATTATTTAATAAGGCACTTTTTAAAAAATAAATTGTCCTCAAATCTCTAGGTCATTAGAATATAATTCAGGGTGTGGGGGAGAAAGAAAATTCTTTTCTAATAGTTTGACATACCAAGAATACTGCTTACTGTCATTTTTGTTGTAGTAGTCTTAAAGCAAAGAAACAAGTGTCCTGCTTACTTAATACAATGGTATCTATCCATTTCAGAATGTTATATGTATAAAGCATGTGATAATATACATGAATGTGCTAAAATTTTTATCTATTTTCATTCCTTAAAAAAGTTTAAGTGTTTTGGACCCAGATTTGAGGTGATAATCTGAAGTTATTAAGTAAGCTAAGGACTACTGTTGGCACTCGGTGTGCCAGGTTACCACTGCAAACAATTCATTGCAAGCAAAGTGGACACTGAGTTGCGGCTACAAGGTTTACTCTTCAATAACCGATGGCTTCCACACCTGTGCAGGGACACCAACTTTCTTTGCTGAAAATTTTGGCCTCGGAGCAGTAAACAAAGAGGATGTGATGGTTTCTGGCTTAGAAAATGCAGAGTAACCTGTAGGTGAATACGATTCATTTACTGGGGTAGAGGCATTTGACTGGAACGAAGGTTGTGAACTATAGGCTGGTACGGAGTACACTGAAGATGCCCGGACATTAGTAGAAGAGCCAGCACTGAGTGGTCTTAAAGGTAGACCTTGTTTTGAAGTGGACAACTTTGATGTCTGCTTAATACCTAGGCTTTCCTTAGTGCTAGATGGAGGTTGAAAAGTAAATAAAGATGCATCAAGTTGATAAGGCTGATGCTTCATAACATCCAAAGCATTGAGAACTTTCTTAGGTTTTCTTTTAGTATTTTTGGTAGCAGCAGTGGACTGAGAGGAAGGCTTGGTAGCAGCAGGAGGATAAGATGGGCTGAGGATGGGATTATAAGCAACAGGTGGTGGTGCTCGAACATTAGATGAATACTTCCAAGAAGCTGGTAAAGAGGGAGTTGGGGATGAAGCTCGTGCCATGTTTGCTTGCACAGTCTCTGAATCTACAATGTATTTCTCCATTCGAGACTGCCTTCTGGCAAATAACTGTGCTCCTTTTCCACTCATAGCTGGCGGTATCTCAAAGGTTTGCTTCGTTCCTCCAGCACTTGGTGTGGTTGGTGTTGTCTTGGGTGTGTTGTTTGGACTTGCTATGGTTGCCTGAGGCCCTTTAAAAGGACCCGCTAGCTTAAGAGTACTGGGGGGGTGGGCAGGAGGAGAATGGGGATGCTGTGGGGATTTGAGTGGTGCAGGATATGCTGCCTGAGGTGAGATTGGAGCTGGGAAGGAAGGAGCCTTGATAGAAGCTACAGCTGGAGGTGACCAAACTGGTGAAATTGGGGTACCAGCAGTAGGAGAGACCTTGACTGAGGGCTTTGGAGCAACAGGAGGAGGGGTCTTTTGTTTAGATGCTTGAGTCTGCATGAAATTGCAAGCTTCTGCTCCCAAACTGAGGTAGTCTTCTTCGGGTCCTGACTCAAAACCAGCTCCAGTACCTCGTTTGCCTTCTGCGTTGTGTACAAGGGATAATAGGGCAGGATTAGGGCTTACTTTGGGTGATTCTTTGAAAGTGAACATTGGTTTTGCCGTGCTTCTTCTCTTTGCCTCCTGCAGTATCCCAGTTCTTTTGGCTGGCACTGCAATCCTTTCATCTCTAGTCGCTATGTGTTCGGTTGGCTCTGTGGATGACCACGTGATTGGTGCAGCTCTGTTGGCTACGGGAGCTGATACTGGTCTGTATAAAACCTCAGGTGGCGGGCTAATGGAAGCATAGGGAGGTGGTGCTGGTATATCTGAAAGAGGACTAGTCATATTTCTTGTGGGGGAAAATGGCGCAGCTGCTCGGTTCTGAACCCCAGAAGGGAAGGGCTTAGCTGTTTTATTCAAAGAGGCTGCTTTTTGAGCTTCAGAGGTCTGAAAAGAGAAAGCTGAAGCTGGTGCTAACGCAAAGCCGTTCTGTTGTACCATTTTGTCATGATTCTGGCTCGCATCTAGGTAGCTTTTGCTCACACAGGCCTGCCTGCTTGACATTTCTTCCTCTTTTGTCTGATAGGCTGAGCAGCTCACTCTCTGGAAGCTCTCTGACATAGTGGCTTCCCTACGTTCCTCTGCATGCACTGTGCGTGCCTTCATCTCCTCTTGCTCAGCGGTAATCTGATCCATCCTCTGCCGTCTCTTGGCAAACATGAGGGCCCCTTTACCCGTGGTCTCTGGAAGGGTCTGCATCTCGTCTCCACTTTTTGTCTTCTTTTCAACTTCAAGTAGACCACTGTCCCAGTCAAATGTCACAATCTTGCCGTCTTTGTCAATGTCAGAGAAGAAATCTTCATCTATTTCTGACTCACTTGTTGCAAGCAAACTCACTTCAAAAGCGTTTTCTTTGTCCCCTTCTTCACCTTCCCCTTCTTCACCCTCGTCTTCGTAACGTTCTAGCTCCCCAGTACCGTAGCTGACTAAAGTATATTTCCTCGCTCTTTGGCGACGCTTCTTGAACATCAACACCCCCTTGGAATTGGGATTGGGAGCTGCTGTCAGCAGCAATGCAATACTTTTACATTTGGATTTGGCTTCTTTGACTTGCTTTTCTGATAGGCTCTCACTTCGCCGGAGTCCTATGGAAAGAGTTGAAGCGTACGTTTAATAGCATGCAGCCCACAAAAATACAAGGAGTTATTATAACAAGTAGTTCTGCGGCTCTCTGTAGTGAAATTTACCCCACTGTGCCCTTCCCACATATTAAAACATTTATTTTCCTGTTTGTATAGAGGTCATTATACTTAAGCTTTTCCCACAGTAACAACTGTGGTATGAATTCCATACCCAGGATTCCTCCTTGAGCGTCACATCCATAGAAGTTTAAAAGCAACATCACTTTCTTTAGGACTTTCTTAGTTCAACAGGAACGTTACGTGTGTCATTATAACTATTTCTAGCTTTCTGGATTTCTCTTCCCATTAGTCATCTCAGCAACAACCAGCTGGATGATATTTTCTCATTTATTTGATTTCTGTGGTATGGTATTTAGCAAGTGTTTGAATACAGCTCTAGAATTATGGCAGAGATTCCCAGCCAGCCAGGCCCAAGATTGCTTAACGTCTGAGAAGAGTGAAACTGAATGTATTCTGTCTGGTGGTGGTAGTAGGTTGTGTCACTTCCGTATTTACTTTACTCATATGCATTATAAAATGGGTATAGTTGATAAAAGTATGTACACTTAAATGTATTAGCTACTTAAAAGGAAGTATACATTCACAAAGTCCTACAGAGAAACAATATATTAACATGAAGACAGACCTCTGGAAGACAGTGGGAATTTGGCCACGGTGCTCAATGAAAAAAGGTTCCAGTCCTTTAACAGACATCACTTTCTTGAAACATAATCAAAAATTGTGTAGGATAAAACATTTCCAGAATATTTATTTAAAAGATGCGGCAAGAATGTATACACGTTTAAGAACTGAATGGAGGAAGCTCTGCTAACTTCTCAAAAGTATTCAGTAGCGTATATCAACGACATTTCTAAAAGTATAAGTTATTGGTTCTCATAAAGTCATGTGGAACAGGAAGATATGCAGCTCCAAAGCTGCTAAATGGACTGTACATCAGCACCACTGCTCCCTTGTTACGTGACATGGAGCATGTGCCTCATGGGGCAATGCTAATTAGCTGTTGACCCCCATCTCTTTCATACTCTACCTCTGCAACTCATGAATGACAGTCCCACTAGCTTCTCTGTTAAAAAAAGCTAGAATTTAAAGCTGTTCCTGCCTAACTGAGTGATCCACTTCTATTTAATTTCAAACGGAGAAAGTGTGCCTCTGATATATGAAAATAAAGCAGTAAATTGTTTAATATCTTTTTTTTTTGCTGGTATAAATAAAACAAGCTCATTAAAGAAAGCCATGTGATATATTTTCTATTAATGATCCCTTTAGCCATGTCAGAACATGGAGCCTGATACTTCTCCTATTAAAGACAATTGGAGTTTTGCCATTATGCCAGATGACAGCATGACTGGACCAATGACTCTCACAGGAACCTATAAAAGAGAAAAGAACATGGTGCCCATACCAGCAATTTGTAAAATTTATTTCAGGAGGGCCAAATCATGAAATCCTTGGCTTAGTTCTTTGGCAGGCCAAATGCTTGCAGGAGTCACTGGAGACATTTTCTCAAAGTATTGGCTTTAGCGTTAGGGTGACTCTGCAAACAGAAGTGCTCGCCCTTCATCATGCAAGTTGCACGCTTTCCAACAAGACACTTGCCTTAGCAGGGAGTGTTATTCTAGGAAAGCCTTTGAGCAGGTACCCTTGCATTTCTGTGGAAAGGAAAAATTGAAGCTTTTCACTTTGCTAGTGTATTTTTTCTTAATTCGTTTGCATAGTTATTTAATCAATAGATTGAAAAGATGACAGAGAAAATGTTACCTGCTCGGGTCAATATACTCTGATTGCTATTCCCAGAGAAAGTTTCTGCTAAAGAGATACAGACCTATAATAAGTGTTCTGATCTACTTTAGACTTAAATGCTGCCTTTTAAGTTTTAATTTTACAGTAAATATGTCTTGTATGCAGGGTACTTTCTGCATGCAGATTATTCCCCTGTGCTTGGCATATTTCTAATGTGTAAATATGATTTTACAAATATTTTTATAAAAAGCACATATTTTTAAAGCTTAAATCCATGATCCCTGAGGACAATGACTTGCCACTGGGTTAGAAAGAATTGAGATTGTCATATGTGAGATGGGAAAAAGGCAAGATGTATATTCTACATGAAAGAACAATTTATCATGTAATATGTAGTTCATTCTGTATACCGTTGCCTTTTTAGAGAGGCAGTGCAAGTAATTCACTGAGAAAGACAGGCACAGTCCCACAGTTGCTTCTCACTTCACAGCCAAAATGTAAGGTATGTACGCTCTTCTTTTTTGCTCCATTTAATATGCCATAAATATGTGGATTACGTACAGACACTTAGGCATAAGTAACTGCTTAATCCACTTGCCAATAAGATACAAATGGTTTTCATGCTAAAAATATGCTTACAGAGGAATTAGCAATGGGTTAGCAGGCTAATTCCAACACTGCATATGAAATAGTTTGTTGCTACAGTATATCATTGCACACATTCAAGCACCTTTGCCATACTGCTACTAAATCCCTGGACGGGATTCTTAACGTTGTTGGGAAAGAACAACCAATAGGAAGATCCCAAATGAATAAAATAATAAATAAATAAATTATATAAATTCTTGATTTATACACTCAACTAAATAATATTGGATTGAATTCCATTTTCAGTTTACTTTACGTAAACTTCTTGGGTAGATTTTGAGGCTGACCTCTGGATATGGGGGTCAGAAGAAATAGTAAGTTCACTTTACAGTCTAGAGAAGGCTTACAAAACTGAAAGGATCATATAACAGTTATACACATGCTAGTGTCTGTCAAAATCTCTCCTGCAAGCAACATCAAGCTTTTCTACTAGCTTTTTTTATTATCAACTATTAAGAGCAGTAGCATGGCTTTGATTTTTGAAGATGCAAATGAAAACACAAAGATTTTCCTATAAAAGGAAGAAGAGAGGAGTCACTCAGACCTGGGCAAGTAACTTGCTTTTTTTGTTAATGTTCTACAATTTACTTCTCAATGTACATTAAAAGGCCGGCAGAATTCAGCCCTTTTGAGAGAAGTAAGTACTTTTAGGTGGGCAAAAGAATGAGTTACATCTCAAAGCGGAAGTCTACTAAGCAAAGTTATTCAGCACTGTTAATGCATGGTTATACTCTTGGCCTGTCACCAGGAGCATTGTATTACTCTGAAAAAATAGATGAAGCAAAAATAGAATCATCTTTTACAAGAGAAAGAGAGAGGGAAAGTTAGAAAACATCAGAAAAACCTCTTTAAAGTTTTTTCTAGCACAGTCTAAATTCTGAAATGATGTTTCAGGTTACAAAAGATACCCTCAGGCAGTGCAAATGATTTAGATGGGACATACTTACTTGCGTGCCTCGCCCTGTGCTTGAGAGGTCTGCTGTGATCCCTTTCCGAGTGCTGGTCGTCTTCTCCCTGCTCTGTGCCTTCTGATGAGATTGCAAAGGAGAGGAGGGAAGGAGGTGCTTCTGACTGCCCTCCTTCCACTTGAGAATCAACACACCCCTTTTCGGCTAGAGACCTGGGTGCTTCCTTCTGCCTGTCCGAACAGTCTAGGATCACCTCCACCCTGGGGAGAGATGGAGCTGCACCTTGGATCGTCTTGACCTCTTTGCCACTAGAAATCTGGACTACTTTACTTGACCACTGGATGTTACCCTCTTTCACACCCAGGGGAATTGCAATTACAGGGCTAGTCCCATCCTGTTGTACACTGGGTCCTGTTTCTGAAGGGATGCATTTTTCTGCCCCTAAGAGAGTCATAGCAGGAGCATTGGTGCCCTTGTGCCCCTCATGTGAGAGGGACAACTGCAGCTCAACCATAGTGCCTGGCCTTCTTTCTTCTATCTTCCCTCTGAAAGCAGCCTCATCTGTCACGAGCACTTTGGAGGTTCCTATCACTTTAGGAGTAATTCTGTGGCTCTGTGTGGTCTCTTGTTTCATTTCAGAAAAGTTTATGTTGCTTTCCTCTGCTCCCTGGTGAGTCTCACTGTATATCTCTGTGATGCAGAATTCTGTGTGGGGTGTCTCTTTGGCTCTGTTAATCTGCAGTGTAGTGCTCTCCCTATAGTTCTCATTTTTTATGTTATCGTGCTTTCCGTTTTCTCTTTCAGCGCTCAAGGTTTCACTTGTTCCACTGGAGGATCTGCACATACATAAACAAGTAATTCAAGAAAGTAAGCTGCTGTAAGTACAGCAATTGTAAGTACAGTTACAAAAGTAATTTCTGTATAGTATGTTTTTTCCCCTAAAATTAATGATTAAAATATCTTTGTATCCTCCACAGTTCTTTAAATTAATGGTGCAGTAAGAGGGAAATTATGTTGCTGCTATAGGATCTTTACTGTGTTCTACTACCATCCTTCTGCAGTCTTGACTTACATCATTACTAACGTCAGTGTGGTTTCACAGACACGTTTCTGTTATATTTGTCAGACAAGTGCTACTGAGACTTCTAGGGCAATACTTCTTCATATTTCACATGTGCGTGTGAAAATTAACTTTGTACGACATCAGAACAGGCATTCGTTTTTATCTCTGTAGCTACGGCAACTGTTTTAGGCACCATCCTCACACGTAGTTCCTGTCCCAAAGAATTTACTCCCTCAGGAACAGGAAATTACTGAATGAGGAGGATAAGGAGGAGGGGAATTAATACTTAAAATACACATCCAGAGAATTCCTTTGAGGGTCATCATCCTTATATATCATGAAATAGTTAAAACGTTCCAGGCCCATTCCAGTGATCCAGTGAAAAGGAGTAGTGAAGCCATACACCATTTCCTAGTTTTTAAAAAACAATTTTCTAAGTGGTGAATGTTAGTATGCCTACCTGAAGCCTGATAAATCTCAGGGTAGCTCCCTTTTGTGAACTATTCATTCCTCTGGCCCAATTAATTAGGCTGTTTTGTTGGTGTTATGACTCCTACTATACCCTCTAGCTTTCCCTTTCCTTACTCTGGGCAAAAGTGACAAGGGTTAATTCCAGGAGAAATCTTTTCTTTACAGGAAGAGAGCAGCATGTTATTAAAGCTTTCTGTTGACTAGAAAGTAGGAAAACATTTTTCCAATTCAAGGAAACAGTAGGTACCCTCAGTAAACTAAGTGTTATAGGGAATTCTGAAATCAAGAGCAGGTCCTAGGTACTCTGAAACTTTGGAACTCCCTACAAAGAAAAGCTGGAAGAAGCAACAGAGGAAATAACTCTGTCAGTGTACTGAAGAAGGTTCAATATCACTTGCCATGCGGCATACTGATTGTAGCAGCTTGAATCTGCCTCAAATAGCATAAAATGTATAATGTCCATCACATATGGGGCTACATAAAAGTCAGACAGATTTTAATTTAGGGAGGTCTTTGCGAGTGCTGCTGGATTCCATCATATTATGCTATTTGGATGATCAGTTGTGCTGCTGCTAAGTACAGATAAATTACAGGAATCCATAAACATTTCCTTGTAGGATATGAGACTAGGGGCTGGGCCAGCTAAACGTTAGCCTTTATTGGTAGCTGAGTGATTGTGTGTGTGTATGAGAGAGAAAGATTTCCACCTTAAAAGGCCCTTGCTACTTATGGATATACTTCTACTCTATATAGACATAAACGTGTATCCATGTGTCAAGAGGCAGAGTACTGGGTCTGATCTCCGTTTTGTCATTTATGATTCTGTTTTGTCAAATTATTATTTTTGTTTCAGGTCTTTCCAGCTCACTGCAGGAACAATACCCCTGGTTTAATTCCAGGAAGGAAGAAGCACTCATGGAGTCAGCGCAGCAGGGTTTGTCTCAGAGTCATGTTTTACTCCCTACATGGTGCATTTCATTTTGGTATGCATTGAGCACACTCCTTTCTTCCCCTTAGAAATTCTCTTTGTAGTCCTAGCAGTGGCCTAGGACCTACTACACTGAAGTACAAAGGGCAGGCTAGTGTTTCTGTCCCCCCTCTCAATGCTTCCTGGATACCTCTCTTCAGAATTTGTTAGGAAGGTCTGTAAGATGCTCCCCCAACATGGTATCTGGAGAGTACCTGCCCTGCAGGATATTTTCTTCCTCTGATCCTGCAAACCAAAGATTTTGTGGGGGCTACTGGTCAGTAAGTGATTGGGATTTACAGGGGATCAGGAAAACTTTTTGTAGACATCAAAGGCCAAGTAGCATTTTAAAAGCTACTTGAAAAGCTTAACTTTCCTCCTCCCTGAGACTTCAGTAGGAGCAGAGTTTGGCCAGTGATGAGTGCTTCTGAAAATCTCTTCCTTCATGCAAGCAGTTGAGGATCAGTCAGAAGCTTCCCAGTAAGAAGAAATATTCTCCCCTGCCAGCAAAAGGTGCTTGGATGCAAAGGTCACCATTGGAATACCACCTGAATTCGGCATTATTCTTTCCTTATGATTTCTAGCCTTTTCTTGAGATGATTAACAAATGACTACTCAGGAAAGGGATGGTTTGCTTCTCATTGCCCTCAGAGGAGGACTGGTCACTTCCTGAAAAATCCTTCCAGCGGTAGTTTTGAGAGGGCTATTACCCATCAACACTCCTAGGAGAGGTGCCACAAAGAAGGTGGCAGGAGAGAAAAAAATGTTTTATTCTCCTCTGCCTTAGAAGATACTAACAGTAGGAACAGGGAGTTGGGGAAGGATAGCTGATGAGAAGAAATTCACAGATTCTCCTGGTAAATTCCTGCAGAACATTTTAGTCCCTTTCAAAGCAAGCCAGTTGTTGAGCAACCGTAATTTTCTTAAGATTTCTAACAGACCCAGGGTTTCATTCCATGAAATGCTATTATGAAGCCTAAGTGTTCTCGTTTCGTTTTGATTTTCAGGACGTGTCTCACTGTTCACCATACGTTCAAGTAGGGGCAACTGAGTGAATACAAGATATGCTGTCACTTTCAACCAGAGCATAATGGTGGCCAATTAAAGAGCAGCAGCAGCGGGCAGGAGTGAAAGCAAATAGAGTTATGTGTATGGCTGCAAAGAATGCAGCCAGTCAGCCACAAGAATCATTTTTTCAAGTGCAGTTCTAGTAGTCATGTCAAGAAGCATGAGAACGTAGATATCACGTGAGGAAGATACTCTTGCTGAACCAGAGTAGTGCAAAAGGTAAGCTGTAATCCTCAGCCATCACCATTCCCCTGAAGTCATTACATTGGTCAGTTACCCAGCCCAAGACGACATGCACAGATAGGGCACGCAGAACATGCCTATTATAAATAAAATGAATGTTCCTTCAGAGCCTCTTGTCCTGAAGGCAGATAATAACTTCAAGTTGCTGGACACATTAGGACAGTTCCTTAGCACACATTGCAGAACACACAGAGGAACTTCATTTGCTCTTTCAGAAGTCCCTGGTAAGCACAGGCAAATGCCTTTTTTGCACCAGAATTCTTCCAGAGGTCCTTTCAGCTTTTCCAGTGACACTGCTCTGTTAACTGTTGGGAAGAGAGCTGAGTCCTGCCCCCTTCTGTCCTGCTACTCCTGCCTGTGGGAGAGCAAATACAGGGAATTGCAGTAGCTCCAGAGGGAGCTGTAATTCCTTCTACAGAATAAGAAAGTCTCTGGTCTTTTCTTCTTTTTCTCACCCATTCTGGAGGCAATTCAGAGTTGATCTTGTCTGAATTCACAAATTCACATTTGGAGAGAATGTGCTTTCAGAAAATTATTCTGGTTTTGGCCCCACTTAACTACTGGTGGTTCAGAACTCCAAGATAGCATCTATTACACTGATCACAGTTACAAAACAGTCATTAGAATGGACTGACATATGCAGTGAGCAGTAATGCTGGCTTGGTCATAAATTTACACGAAGGTTCTCTACTGTAAGAAACTGGAAGCATTTTCAAAGGAAAATGTAACTCACTGTCACTAGCTTATAAATGGAGAGCCTGAGACTCAGCTGTAAGTGACTTGCCCCACCTCATCTAGTGAGGTGATAACAGATACGGAAATAGAATTCATGGTTTCCAGACCCTCTCCCCCTTCTGACTACTAACACATTCTGCCACCCAAGAAGACCATTTGCCGTGTCATCATCAGGGCATATCTGTGCAACACGCTTTCTCCATCTATGCAGCCCATGCTTTTTGTAAGCCTCACTTCCATATCTACAGAGGATAGCAACACTTGGCTACTTCAAAGGGTTGGAAGGAATAGTTAAACTCAAGGCTCTGCAGCTCTCAAATATCATGCTAGTCAGTACCTTGTAAGTATCTAAGATACTTAATAATAAAATTGTTGCATTTGGAGACTGTAGCCTTAATTCTGTGCCTGAACTGTGCTGTTTGAATTATATGCCTTAATTCCTTTCGATCAAATGCTCTATCTTCTCTCCCTTTTTCATACAGGCAAGCAGACTGCCAGTCTTACAGGCAAGCAGACTGCCCATCTTACAGACATAAACAAGAGGTTTATGTATAAACAGTTTAGGTCTATAAAATAAGTGCATTCAACACCCACATTTTCTACTCAGTTCACCAAACAGAATTGCACTAAAGCATTCTGAGCATTCCTGTACCTCTTGATAAGCATCTGCAGGACGTCAGTCAAGCTTTCCATCAGAACGATAACTTCGGCATAGGTTAAGTCTCCACAGGGTTTACCATTGATAGACACCACCTCATCCCCCTCACAGAGTCCAGCCTTAGCTGCTTTGCTCTTGCTGCGAACCTACAGTGAGTGAAAAACAAATCCAAAATGGCACAGTTAATTTGAATACAATGGCAATCATGTCCCCAACTTGTTTTATCTGTACCAAAAAAATGGTCAATATTATTGATTGTTTCCAAATCCCTAGTAACACAAACCAAGAATTTGTCCCATATGAGGAGAATACTCCTGTTCTGGTCAATAATAACAAATACAAAAACTTCTACTGTACTGAGCTTGTAAGCTAGACATCCTACGGGCTGGAAATGTTTTTGAAAAAGGGAGGCGTGGAAGTTTAGGACAACAATCAGTCAATCCAAGTTTAGCAGAATGGCAAAAAAATCTTATTAGCTTCTCCCACAGGTTACCAAAGTTGAAATCTAGGCCAAGACATTAAAAGAAGAGTGTATAAAGTTAGGCTTCTCTGGGAAGAATGTCATACCTGCATGCCGTTAGAGCTGTAGGTATACAGATTTCTCATGTACTGGACATTTTTCCTTAGATGCCCAACTGTAGGGTCAGGTGCCAAACTATAAACATCTGAATAGTTGGAGGTCCTAAATCCACCTTATGTCATCTAAATAAGTGCTGTGATTTATGAAAGTTAGTCCATGCCTGTTAGGGTTTAAGCCCCCACTTTAAGTACTCATTCAAGAACCTATGTGGCTTCATTTTTGCCGTTTCAGTCCTTTTTCCACTGACAGCATGGTATGACTTATCATAGTCATTGTATAACAAACTCTAGGCAGCTTTAACACCACTCAAGGTATGCCATATAGTTGACTGCTATTTTTAAAGTACATATTTGGCAAACAGCACGTTATATTAACCAGGATGCTTGCGGGAGTCTATTTTAGAACTACACATACACATAAAAGGGTTGTCCTTGGGTTCATCACTCTGAATCTTCTATCTGTTGGTGTGAGTCCTTTGGCCTTATATTATATCCCATTTGTAAGGCTAATACATTATCCTTACTAATCCTTATTGCGTTTTCTTTGAATTTGTTATAGAAATAGTACAGTCCCACCGCATTCACAGCAGCAGTCAGTCCTCGCTGTCTCCAGCAGAGCTAGTTCTGATGTATACTGGACTGAGGGTGAAATAGTCCCACTGACTCATGGAATTACCCCCTTATACTGTGGGGCCCCTGGACTGGTACCTAGGAGGCATTTCTGGAGGCAATTTTGGAAAGTTTCTTGAAGTCAGAATGGTATGTGGAAGAATAAAGAATGAGACTGCAAAGGTTCTTCTGTGGTGGGGCCATTTATTTTTGTGGTTTCAATGTATGAATACCCATATGTCATATTATAGCTTTCTGAGCAGTGAGGAAACAGAAGCCTGGTGCGTACAGAAGCCAGTGAGCTACCTTGCAGAGGACTTAACATTTACAAATATGGAGTGGTATGCTGCTCTGTTTATCTTCCCTTAGGCAAGAGCATAAACATCCTTGTACTTTGGGAAGAAATGATGGTTTAGACAGTGTTTAGAAGGTTTTACTTCATACATGAGCTAGGATTTGGGTTTTTGTTACTATTTTTTGAAATAGGAGGGTATGCTATTAAAATTGCACAAAGCATTTTAGGCCTGAACGTGAGTATTTATTATGGGTGCTAGGAACAATTTAGAGTGACCCTTTTTTAAAAATGTGTAAACAGTAATTGTAGCAACATGTAAACTCTGAAACTGTGTAGCATGATACCTAGGATGTGAGAGGAGCTCGTTTCTATTTCTTTATTGAATGTCTGAGAATTCAGGGTCAGTTCTGTCGTGCGTTACCGTTTTAACTGTCTCAGGAGAACAACTGTTACCCGTTCCATAACTTTTTAATATGAAAAAAGCAAAAGGATTTTTTATTGTACCATGGTAGTAAGTCTACATCATTTGCTAGCCAGCTCAACTTGTCTCATGAGTTTTTTAAATCAGCCTCCTTGGCAGCATTGGAAGAAGATAGGCAAGGACATTGTATTTCCCTTTAGCGTTCTTGAGCCTCAAGCCGTAATCAGGGAGCCCAGGGAGGCTTCTGCTGAACTGCTCCACCATAACCTGTCCTGCTCAGCGAGGGCTGCTGTGCTGCCTTGCAAATTACTGAAACCGGACAAGTTGTGAGATGTTTGGACCTTTGTGGAAAAACTCAGCCCCTGCGTAACTGGTCACGCATGAAAGAAATTGCTGTAAGTCACTGTACCTCATTCTCTGGTAGCATTTTAGTGCATATGTACATTCAGGCAAACCTTCTATCAGTATTTTATATCCAGAGTTATGCATATAGGTCAAGCCTTTAAAATGATTTTGTCATCACAAGTTCACACTGCACATCCTGTATCTATTAATGGTTCTCCTGACTATATGTCGGCCTTTTTTCCAGCCTCCCCCAGATTTGAACGCTGGCCTTGTAAAATCACCTCAGCATTATCCTCTCTTTGATGTTTGCATTGAGGGGAAAAAGGAGGAGAGAGCGCTGACAAAGACAGAATGAGCGAGGAATTAGAGGGAAAAGAAGTAACTAATGACCGTCAGGTGAGGCACAGGTTTCTTACAGTGTAAACATAAACCATTATCATGTGTATTCCTCTAACCTCAGGATATCACCTGGTTACTCAGCAATATGTAGACTGACTTTCCAGACAAGCTGTAATTTTTTCTGGTTTTGTTTATTTCTCTTCATGGAAAACCCACAAAAGTAGAAAAATATTTTGCTTATGTAAACCAAAATTTTCAAACTCCTGAAAAAAAATTGTGGAAAGCAGGATCTTCCTGATGAAATATTTGTTTAATGGACAATTTTCTCTCAAAGGAAGTTTTGGCAGAAAGCCTTTGACCACTGCACTAAGAAACAAAAGATGCCTTTGTTAGCACAAAAATAATATGGTCACACAGTGAGAAACTTTTATCTGGTTCTCAGGAACTTTACGCAAGTGACATATGGACATCAAGCAGAAAAGACTCTTCCCAAAGCAGTGATTCGTGTTGTGTCACGGTGCAGCCCAGGCTTTCCCACTTATATGTTTCTCCTTTCTCCTTTGGACTGAAATTTTCTTTGGGAGGAAAAATATTATTTCCCTTGCAGTTTCTAAAGGGGAGCTCACTGCTAGAAAAATACATTCTGTTCATAAGATTTTTTTACCGCTAGCAATTCTGGTATAGCACAGTTAAGCTGAGCCTGTAGCATTTGTGCTGAACCTGTCCAGGCACCAGCTGCTCCTGGGGAACGTTCTAGCGCTTAGGGGTCCATTGTCCCTGTACTGCCTGCGTTGCTCTTCTGCTCCCCGCTCAGTTAGGACTCGGCTTTTCTTTACTCAGGTTACTTATCAGGCACTGGTTAGTGTGCCGCCTCTTTCTTCTAATCACAAAATTTTCCAGTGTTATGTTGATTGAAATACTTGCTCTGGATTTCAAAAGATTTAAGGCGATTCACTGTACATGGTGTATTAGCATTGCAGCAGTGCTGGCCTGTCTTAGTCAATGCTGTACATGTTCTGCTCATAGGGAACTTCAGTTTTCTGAACGTTTGACATTAGTATAGTAGTTATATATAAATAGTTTTACATAACACTGACAACATTATTGGGGTTATTCTGATCCAGTTGGTATAATATCCTCTTTTTGAGCTCACTCTGTTGCTAGAGGGTTTGTAGAGCAAGGCTGCATTACTTGGACGATTTACCTGAGGTACCTTATTTCCTTTCTGTTCCTGACTACTGCGAGGGGAATTGCTCCCGTGTCTTGAATTTTCTATTAGAAGAAATGCCCCATACCGCTTTAAAAAGTCAAGTGCTGAACAATTTCTCCTATTCACAGAGAGGTTAGTCTTGGGGGGAACGTCCTTTCCCCACACAGCAGAAGACCACAGGAGGCTGAGGGAGGCCTCCTTTTCCCCTCACCTTGCAGCTGATTGCAGGCAGCTGTTGCAGCAGGTGACTAGGCTTGGCCAGGGGCTCATCAGGAGAGTCTTTAAAGGTTCGGGCTGGAAGCTGAGGGGATGAGGTGCAGGGAAGGTGAGCTCTTGGTTTTCAGGAGGTTTGTGTAATGTGAGATTACTAGGCTGAGAGTCTGATAAACAGAGCGAATGGATTTCTCTCTTTTCCTTTTCCCTGATGGAGAAGGAACTGAGGTACCTGGTAGTGCAAGAAAGGAGCAGAGCACTAAGTGTGGGGCCCTCTGAGGTGGCGTGTGAGTCTCAGTGCTGTGGTGGTGAGAGGTCATGTCCTGGAGGCACAGGTATGTGGGGGGAAAAAGCATAGCATAATAAATTACTGTGGGTCTGTGGTAGCTTTAGGGTGCTGTTGGGGTAGCTATGGGTGTCAGCAGTAGATAGTGATTTCAGTCAGTCCTTCATTTAGTGAAGAGTGGATAAGCTAAGTAAATGCACTGAGGCTGTGCCCAGATTTGTGTAGAGCGAAGGAGGGGTTTTGTGAAGAAAACTACTGCTGAGGGCCCAGCCTTTGTGCCATATATGTTTACTTTAAAGTAGTTCTAGTCCTTTTCTGTGACCTGAAAACCCCTTGCTGGGTAGATTTTATAAGATGAGCTCCTTTGCTTTCATCTAAAAGCAGTTCTGTTTGTGTGATTCCAGACTGTTCCATTATATAAACTGGTATGCCTAAGTGAGGATAACAGGTAAACTTGCTTCAGAAAATGTAATCCTGATGAAGCTAAATGCTAAAGTAGATGCACCTGTTACTTGTTGTGGGCTAGAAGCACATGCAGAGACAGCAACTGGGGCTCAGCTTACCAGCTGACTGTCTCGGTTGTGCATCTGAGCCCCATAGTATGCAGATCAGAGAGCTGAGATATGTTGAACCTGGTAACAAGTTCATTGGGTTGTAGCTTAATGTGGCAAATGTACTCTATGACACTCTGCAGTCTGGGTCTTCCAGCTGCCCAGATGAAGAAATTAATGGGAATGTTTCATAGTGTTGCTTTTACCAGTGCATTTGGGAAAGAGGATGTATATCTTAGTGTTTTTCTGCTGCGCTGCTGAGAGTACACACCTGGATCTGGGAAATGCTTCTAAGTGT